ATCTATCTATCTATCTATCTATCTATCTATCTATCTATCTATCTATCTATCTATCTATCTATATTTTTTTTTCAATGTTTCCTCTAGGAAATTGGGGGTTTACTTGTTTTATGAAAACATGAATTCACACATCTCACCTTCTATTTTGTACTACAAAGATATTGACATGGTTGTCTGTCAATTATATTATGAAAAACATTTTCAATAAACTCTTTTTAGATCTTTCCAGTGTTTCCTGTATTTGTCTTGGGTGGGCTGCTTATGAAAATGGAATGATAAACAGCAGCAGCATTGTTTTAAATACAATTTACAGAACAWGAAAAAGTCTGAAATTTGCATTAATTAAATATTATATAGTGAATCTCATATCTAAAGATACATGTAATATATCTTGAACTGGAGTCTCTATTACAACCTAAGGATAAGTCTAATGTTATTTATACTAGACAGAATATAATTAGAGATATCTTAAATAGGTTTTTTTGCCTTGTCAAAATATATTAAGAGATGTCTATTTATTTGTTTCATTCATTCATAAGAACAAAATATGTACAGCATTAAAAAACAAAGTAAACCTTACCCCGAATTAAAAGGGAGCAGAGTGAAAAAAAAAACAAAAAAACTATTGTGTCCCTTATTTTCAAAAATCAACTTCAACAAACAAAAAAGCTCAATTTGTAGTCCACTTTTTAAACAAAACTTTAAGTGTTCACTTTTTAAAATTTTCTTTCATATATTTCATTACACAAAAGTAAAATTGGTGTTATTTTATATCTCACTCCAACGGTGAGTAAAAAATAGGACGTTACATCTCAGAAATGTTGATAGTCTGGGAAAAACGTGCCCAAAGACATATTCAGCTGAAATATACTTACATATAAAGGTAAGGGAAATTAATAAGATACATGTTGTACAACAATAAAAATCTTAGCAGTTTATGCAAACACTATTTTAAAAACTTTTACAAAAGTGTTTTAAATGAATGCAAATTCTAGTCAAAATAATATGATTAATATTTATTTTGTTAGTGACAGACCACCAGGATGCACTAAAATTGCTACAGCTATCTGTTACTGCTTTTGTGCTTTCAAAACTATCAGGAAATTAAATGTAAATAACAATATA